ATTATTATTATTATTATTATTAGTCGCGAAACATGTTGAAAAATTTCAAGTGTCGGTTTTCTTTTAAAATAAAATTTCCCGAGTCCTTGACATTAAAAAAAAAAGAAAAATTTATAATTTATTTTTAAATAAGATATTAAACGTAACCTTTTTTCAAATTTTTTTCCGCCCCCTCCTCCTCCTCCTCCTCCTCCCTCACCCCAAACACCTTTCAGTTTCCGGAAAAGAAAAAAAAAGAAAAAAAACTCGATGGGTACTCTACAAGACGTACAAGAGAAACGGAAAATTTCCCCCTCCCTCCCTCCCCATTTTTTTCGACACGTATATAAATATAAATACAAATGACGAAACGGAATAAAACGTAAAGAAAATTATTATTATTATTATTATTATTATTAATATTGTTTTTTTTTTTTTTTTTGTGACCTTCTCTTTCTCATTTCAACATTTATTACCGTGCGTTTATTTTTTTTTTAATTTTTCTCTCTCTCTCTCTAATTTTTTCTGTCCAAGGGCTGAACCGGTGCCAAACGCTCTCTTCTATGTAACTGAACCGACACCGGAATTAAACGTGGGTGCGTAGAAAAAGTACGAAAAAGAAAAAGAAAAGGAAAAGAAAGAAAACTCATTTTGAATTTTCTTTTTTTCGCACGCACGCACGCAAATAACGGACATGGAAAATCATTCTTTTATTTTTCCCATACGAAACTTATTTTCGACATGAATCTACTACTACAAACGTTCCTACGCCACATTATTCGTAATAAGAAAAAATGGTGCATGGAGGATCGATCCTTTCTTTCCTTTTCCTCTCTCTCTCTTTCCGCCATTGGAAAAAAAATCAAACAGGAAAAGGAAATGAAAAATTCTCTCATCTCCTTCTTACTACCACCATTCCCATCTCTCTTTTTCTCATACATGTTCCTTACACATAAGAGCGTGACTACTACTCGGCATATAATAATCCTACGGTTAATTTAACTCGCAACTCTTTTCTTCCTACACATCACGGGGGACCCCCATGTCAAAACCATTATTATTATTATTATTTCTTTTATTAAATTAATCAGTCAGTAAACATTTTGATGACTTACAAAACACGAGAGAAATTATTTTAATAAGCCAAATCAAAACGCCCCTTGAGTATGTATGTACGCATGTTTTTTTTTTTATACGCCCCCACGCTCGGCTTATTTTTTTATACATTTTTTATATACATTATTATTATTATTATTTCACTGGAATGAATTATTTCGTTTTTCGGGACACCGTCGGGAAGAAGGGGAACCCCCCCAAAAAATTTAACCCGTGCCAAAAAAAATTTAAAAACTTATTGATTTAATATTTGGTGATATTAAATAATGATATTTCATAACTGTATAATATTAACAACAACGATCGGTTCGATGCCACCAAAAAAAGCTGACAAATCAATCCCCATTCTATTCTATTCTATTTTATTTTATTAAAAACAAACAATTTAATAATTTGCACAATTTTAATAATTTTATTGCAAAAGATTATGAAAGTTGCAAAAAAAAAAAAAAACCAAAAAAAATTTCTCTTTTGTTTTTTTTTTAATGTCTAGGCGGCCGGCCAAAAATACTTTACAATACTAATCATAATTTTTTTTTTTTTTTATTTATTCGATGGTGGCAACAATGAAAATTTAATAATTTATAAATTACATTAGAAAAGAGACGACGACCCCCTTTACCTCAACACCGGATAAAACAATGAAAAAAAAAAAAAAAAAAAAAAATCGGTTGGAATTTAAATTTTTTTACTTTTCTGTCGCCACCTGATTGACCAAAAGCTGTTTGGACCTACTCCAAATCTCATTTGTTTATTGTTGTATATTGTAAAAATTATTTATTCCAATTTTCACATCGGTTTCCGTTTCCGTTTCCTAAAACGCGAGATGATGACGATGGTGGTGACCTCTGGAGATTTTTAAACGTATTAAATTTACATTCGACGATTATAAAATCATTTCAAATCGCATACATACATACATACATGTGATAGACACATAATTCATCGTTAAGAGAGAAGACATTTTTTTTTTTTTTTTTTTTTTTTTTTTTTTTTTAAACAAACAATAAACGCGACAAAAAAATTGCAAAAAGAAGACATTTACGAGAGAAGAAAATCACGAAAATCAATTTTTTAAAATAAATAGATTAAAAATTAAATAGAGTTCTTTCACCTCGATCGAATCAGGTGATTCGACAAACGACAACAAACAAACGATTTTAAAAATAACCGTACCCACCATTCAAACTGTAAAATTATTATTATTGTGACAAGTTATTCCAAGACTATAAATCTTAATGGTCTGTTGGTTCCCCCCCTACCTTCTTCCACCCCCACCCCCAATCGAATTTCATTAGAAAAATTTATTTATTTATTTATTTATTTAAAAACAAAAAATTCCAACCAACCAACAAAACTACATAAATTTTAAGATATAGACACGTCGCGATTAAATCCTTTCCAAAATAATAATAATAATAATAATAATAATAATAATAATAAGCCAACGGCCATAGCGTGCTGGTCACACCGGTTCCCGTACGATCACCGAAGTTAAGCAGCATCGGGCGTGGTGCAAACTTGGATGGGTGACCGTTTGAGAACGCCACGTGCTGTTGGCTTAAAAGAGCAAAAAAAAAAAAAAATGAGAACAAGACAAAGTAAGAACCAAAAAACAAATCTTGTTCTACTGTCGACCTGAGGCAGCTCGACGAGAACGTGAATTTCACTGCTTCTGACCCTGGCCACTCCAAAGATGTTAGTCACCGGAGCCCAGTTCAGGAGACAAATCGTTCCCATCGAAAAAGACGGACTCAGGAAGACCTTCAAGAATTGATGTGGTGCTATCGTATAATAAGTGGCACCACCGAAATTCGAGTATTTGTCCCTAAGGAATCGGGTAGAAACCTCGGATAAATACTTAAAAACTCCGACAAGTAGCCTTGTCGTGTTTAATGGTGGATAATAATAATAATATTATTTATATATATTGTTCGACATTTTATTTCTGGACCAACGCACAAAATAAAAGCAAGCGCATGGCAAAAAAATATATATATATAAAAAATTTAAGCAATAAAACTTTAAAGTCATTAAAAACTAATTAATACTAATAAAGGTAGTGTGCGTGTGGGTGTGTGAAAATGACCGATTCTTTTTTTTTTTTTTTTTTTTCGCCTTCGCGTAACTTGTAAAAAAAAAAGAAAAAAAAACCTAAAAATAAAATTTTTAAAAAAATTTTCTAATGATCGCCGTCAAAATCAAAAAAAAAAAAAAAAAAATTTTTTTGTTTTTTGGATTACATCCAACACCTGAATTATTTTTCACGATTTTCACGGGGGTGAGAGTGGGGTGGGGGAGTAGGGAGATCAACCAAAACCAAACAGGTAGAAATATAAAAAAATTAAAAAAAAAAAAAAAAAGAAAGAGAAAAACGTTAATGCGCTCATTAATAATAATCCCAGAGAGAGAGAGAGAAAGAGAGAGAGAGAGAAAACAGGAACTCAAACGTAATGAACCTACTAAACCTTTTTTTTTTTTTTTTTTTTTTTTTTAAATTCTAAATTTTTAAAGTCAGTCAATTAATTTTTGAAATTTTTTTTTTTTTTAAAAAATCAGGGATAAAGCAACAAACATAAAAACCCCTTGATACAAGCTTAAAGCAAAAAACGATTTAATCTGTAAAAAAAAAAAAAAAAAAGTAAAACCTTTCGAAATTTGTGTGCATGCAGCATCCTTTTGTTCTCAAATCTACTCTCACTCTCTCACTCTCTCTCTCTCTCTCTCTCACATTCAACAAATACGCCCCTTAAAAACGAAAGCAATTCATTTAAAACTTTTCGCCGTTATCAGAGAAAAAACTCAAACAACAACAACAACAAACAAACAAAATACCAATATACCAAAACGCGTTAAATGAAAAAATTGAAAAAAATTCGTATTGAATGTAAAACAAGTTTTTCAACAAACAAACAAACAAACAAGCAAACAAAATTTAATACTTTTTTAATTTCGAAAACTTTTCAAGAAGGAAAAGTGTAAACAAACAAACAACAAAAAATAAAATTCCCTTACAATTTGTAATTAAAAAAAAAAAAAGAAAAAGAAAAACTTTGAATAACTTGAATAAAATTTGTACCGAATCGAATACTAATAATAATAATAATAATAAATTTTTAAGTAAAAGTAAAAGTGTTCTAACGGCAAAAACTATTTCCGCAGTAAATGAGACATATAGAACGTGATACTATTTCCGTTATATTCTTACACTTTGAATGCTTCGAATTTTTTTTTTTTTTTTTTTTGTGCAAAATCTAAAAGAGTTAATTAATAATAATAATAATAATGCCTGCAATTTTAAATACGATCGCAGTCGACGCATGAATAATAATAATAATAATAATAATAATTACATGGCTTCATATAAAAAAAAAAAAATCAAAATTCGAAAATTTCCCATTGCTGACAGTTTTATCATTTGCGCGTGCGCAAAAAAAATAAAATCTCATTCATTTCAAGCCTTTTTCCTTCCAAATTTTCTCAATTTCAAACAAAAAATAAATAAATAAATAAATTGAAATAATAATAATAATAAGCAAAAAAGGTAACAACAAACAACAACAACAACTCGATCAAAAAAAAAAATTTTATAAAGCGTTAAAACGTTCATAAATGAATGAAAGTGTCAAATTTTTTAGTTGCAAGAGTAAAATAAAAGAAAATCACGTTCCTTCTTTTTTTTTTAAATAAATAAATAAATAAATAAATAATTGCAAAAATAAATAAATAAATAAATTTTTTTTCTAATTAATGACGTTTCTATCCCCTCCTTCCCCGATTTCCGAAAAAACTTCAAATCCTTTTCTCCCCGAAATATTTTTTTTTTTTGTTTTAAAACCAAAAAGAAAATTATAAATTTATTTTCCTCATCTCCCTCCCTCGCCCCCGTCCCGTCCCCCCCCCTCTCACAAGTTTTCCACAAATTCTAGAGAAAATATATAAAAATTGATTAAGTCTCGATCCCGAAATGTTTATCTCAAGCAAAGGAGCCAAAAAAAAAAAAAAAAAAACGTGACTAAGATTAAGAATAAAAAACATCTCCCCATCTCATAATTGATAAAAAACAATAAGAGAGAGAGAGAGAGAGAGAGAGAAAAACGACGTCGAGTAGACTTTATAGCATAGAAAAAAAAAAAAAAAAAAAAAAAAAAAGAGGAAACCCAAGAGAAAAGTGCGTGTTTGTGAGTGCGTGCGTGGGCGTGAGTACCACATACCTTCGTAATTCACTTGTCCATCTCCGTCGATATCAGCCTCTCGAATCATTTCATCCACTTCTTCGTCTGTTAATTTTTCACCCAGGTTCGTCATGACGTGCCTTAGCTCGGCTGCCGATATAAAACCATTACCATCCTTATCGAAAACTCTGAATGCTTCTCTAATTTCTTCTTCGCTGTCTGTATCCTTCATTTTTCTAGCCATCATGGTGAGGAACTCGGGAAAATCGATGGTACCATTACCTGTCAAAAAATTAATTTATTATTATTATTATTATTATTAATGGCGGATTTTTAAAAGTCTTTCAAATAAAAATAAATAAATAAAAACAGTATAAATTACAGTAAATCAAATTCGATGTGTCAACTCAGTGTAATGTTTTTGTTGTTTTGTTTTGTTTTTAAAGTGCCAAATCAAAATATTTTTAACCCATAAAAAAAAAAAAAAAATTTTAAACAATAACTAATAAAAAAAAAAATTTTTTTTTTTTTTCTTTGCGAACGTGTCACAACCTGGCCAAATTTTAACGCCCAACAATTTTTATAAGTCGTCGTCGTCTTCTTCTTACCCTCCCTTCCCCCCCCCCGAAAAAAAAAATATTAAACTAAAAAACTTTCATGTATAAATTCTTTTTATTTTTTTAACAGTAAAATGGCATCATGGCGAAAAACCAGAAAAATTCGCAACAAAAAAGCAAAAACTTTTAATAAAAGTTGTCGAACAAGTTCGTCTATAAGAGTTAACATGTTTTGCCTTCGAGGAATCATCTTTCTAGAGAAAAAATTTAAAAAATTCGAACAAAAACAAACCAGAAAATAATAATAATGATAATAATAATGGGAAAATGATTATTTTAGTCCAAATATAAATTAAATAATAAATATTTAAAAAAAAAAAAATTATTAATCAATCGTTTAACCAAATTTGAAAGTAAAAAAAAAAAAAAAAAAAAAAAAAAAAAAAAAAAAAAAAAATTGTTTGATTTTTTTTTTTTTTTTTGGCAAAGTAGTAGTAACTGGTGTCGAGGTCATGAATTTATTTTTCTTTTTTTTTATGTGGAACAAATTTTTATTTTCTAGAAAAAGAAGGAAAGAAGGAAAGAAGAAAAAGAAAGAAAAAGAAAAGCGTGAATCATGATTTCATATGTAAAAATTGTAATTCCCATGTAAATTTTATTTTATTTTTTTTTTACGAATAAATTACACACATTTCAACGAATTACGTTACATGTTGATTTTGATTAATCACTCTTTACTATCACTATCTCTCTCTCTCTCTCTCTCTCTTTCTTTTTAAATTCTTTCCGCTACTACCCTGAATAAATCCTTTCAAGTTAAATGAGAGAAGAAAAAAAATCAATTTCATAACAAACCGTTTATAATTTAATAATTAATTGGTGTATTTGATTGAAAGGATCAAAAGGATCAAAATGTGTCACAACATTTCATTCATGATTTTGAACTGTTCAATTAACCCCAAAGTCTTAAATAATCGTACTACTACTACTACTACTCTCCATTTTGTTTTTGTCATCCTACTCTTGACGGTTTATTTCTTACTTTTGTCTGCGATTTGCATCCCCTACGATCTTCCCCTATTTTATTTGTACGGTTTGCTTCAGATCAAAATAACAATGGCAACTTAAATACATTAATTACGAAATTATAGTCAATATTTACTTTGTCACTCCCCACAATATTGTTGGTATTGTCGCCCCCCAAAGTTGCCTTCCCTGACAGAATGGGAACCAAAAAATGTAAAGCATTGTTTCACCCATTCAATTCTTTAAGGAAAGAAGGAAGGAAGGAAGAAAGGAAGGAAAGGAAAGTTCAGAACGGAAATAGAAATTTTCTTTTCTTTTTTATAGGGAGGAGCACCTTTTATCTTGATATAAAGAAAAACACTGAAAAAAAAATTAGTTTCATGTTGTTGATTCATCATCGAATTCATGCCATTTCTCTTAACGATGGAGGAGGGAAGGAATATGGGGGGAAAAGGGGGGAAGAAAAATTAACTTTTTGCGTGACTACCCCCTAACTTATTGGTAAACATTGAAACTCTTCGCCGCCGCGCATTTCTTTCTCATCATAACTTTTATTTTATTTTCACCCCTTTATATATTTATTTTATAATAAAGATTAGATTTGCCAAAAAAAAAGAAAAAGAAAAACCTCAACGACCTGAAACAATAACAAATTAATCAAGTACATTTTTCCTCCCCTCCCCTCCCCTCCCTTTCCCTCAAAATATTATATTAAATAAATCATTTTCATTATTTAACACCGATGGAAAACAACAACAACAACAACACTTTGAAAACATAAACCTGAACACACAATTGTTTTGAGAAAAAAAAACGTGTTTTAAATAGTTAACAGCGACGACAACAGTACAAGGTTGAGGTCGTTATTATTATGTCTAATACTAAAATCAATTTTTTTTTTGCTTTTATTAATGCGATTGTAAAACTAAAGCTTTAAGTTAAAAGTTAAAAAAATTTTTTTTAAAAATATTTGAAATATTTAGTTATTGCGACAATACCCGGCGTTTAATATAATCAAACAATTTTCGATTGAGTAATTCGATACAAAAAAAAAAAAATTAGAAAATTAAGGTGACTTTTCCCTCCTCCCCCCTCCCTCTCCACTACTCCCCCTCTAACGTTCCTGTGACGAAAACCTTGGCAAAATTAAACCGACCGCAAAAACCTTAGAATAAAATTATAAAATTACATGAATGATTCATGGGCATCTCGTAGCAGAAAAATTAAAAAAAAAAAAAATTAAAATAACAACTAAAAATACGTACGTAACCGCACGGCCATAATTAAAACAATTTATATAAATGGTAATTATTATGATACGACTCACCATCTGCATCCACTTCATTAATCATATCTTGTAATTCTGCTTCTGTGGGATTCTGACCGAGTGATCTCATAACCGTACCCAATTCCTTAGTTGTTATGGTACCATCGCCATCTTTGTCGAATAAGGAAAATGCTTCCTTGAATTCGGCAATTTGTTCTTCGGTCAACTGATCAGCCTGAAAACAAAAACAAAAACATAATGTATATATTTTTTAAACGCCACTAAATATCGAACTCGCAAAAAAAAAGAAACCATTTTGTTTTTTTTTTTTTTTGGGGGTTCGTTAAACAGTCAAATTTAAAATGTTTTTTTTTCTTTTTTTTTTTTTCAATTTGCGTGTGTAAGTGTTCTCAATATAAACTACTTTAATATTCATTTTTTCATTTTTTTTTAAATAACTTCTAATGAGCTATTTTAACGAACATGAAATAATAAAATGACAAAAAAACTTTTTTTTGTAATGTTTTTAAATTGGAACCCTACAACAAAATTGAATATTAATTTTTTTTTCTTTTTTTTTTTTACTTTTAATAATAAAAAAAAGTACAAAAGTTTTTAATAAAAAACCATTATAATTTTTTTTTTTTTTCCTTTTTAATTACAAAAAAATTATAATGATGACGTTATGGTATTAAAACATAAAATAAAGCTTTAAAGTAGAATTAACACCGCAAAAACTTTGGGTTTTGAGGTCATGGCAACTAACCAAAAGGCTTCTATCTATACGATAAGCTCATAAACTATTTACAATAAAAACAGTTTAACAAAAAAACAAAAGTTTAAATATTCCTTTTTTTTTTTTTTAAGGTTAAAACGAAACCTTATAATAAGTATTAAAAATATAAAAAAAATTTTTTTTTAAAATTTTAAATAACTTGGAAAAAATATACCGACAAAAAAGGAAAAATACAAAGTTCAAATAAATAAGCATTTAAATAAAAATAAAATATATATGCCATAACATTAAAATTATGATGGGGTGAGTGGGGGGAAGGGGGGGGGAATTTGCACGTTACTTATTAAATCGATCACAATTTCAATTACATTAAAAACAAAACTTTTTTTTTAAAACGCAAATAAGTGCAAGAACGAATTGTAATTTTTTTGATAAAAGCCACCATTTTTTTTTTTTTTTTTTTTTTTTGAAATTAATTTTGACTTGTTTATTCAAAAGTAAATTTTCCTGGCCTTAAAAAAAAAAAAAACAAAAGGCCATCATCATACACACACACACATATATATGTATGTATGTATGCATGTATGCATATAATTACAATTTGTTTCATTATCAACTGCCACGTTGCACACAAAAATTTGATTTGATTATTATTACAAACCGAGTCAAACCTGTATTTTTTTTTTTTTTTATTTCAAGATATCATTGTCACTATTATTATCATCATCATTATTTCTTTGTTTTTACAAATTGTATCAAGGTGAATTTTTAATAACTGCAATATCAAATGAGACAAAAACAAATTTTTTTTATAACTATTTACTCGAGTAAGAAGAAGAAGAAGAAGACAAAGAGGAGAAAAAAATAAAATAATAATTAATTTTTACATCGATATTAATTTGCTCATCAATTTTATTTTCCTTTCAGTGGTAATGTTCACCTTAAGCAATGTTTATTATCTTATGGGTCAAAGTTATGAAGAACCACATAAAACATGGCCCTGAGCTTGAATGAAGTGGGGAGGGAGAGGGAAATGGGGGGGACAAAGACATTAAAAAATTAATATTAAATATATATATAATTAAAAGCATGTTTTAAACAATTTGAAAGTACACAAGGTATTATTGACAACAACAACAACAACAACAACAAAAAAGTAATAATCGTTTTTAAAACAATGCTTTAGGCTGTGAATGTAAATCAGTTCGAAAAATTCGAATAGTTATAAAAAATAAAGTCAATCAAAAAAATCATGCAAAATTATAGTTTTTGTTTAAAAAAAAAAATTTTCAATTTGCTAATTGCCCCACAACCATGATGGGTTCTCAGAAAAAAAATAAATAAATAAATAAATTAATGCCAATTTTTTTTTTTTTTTTTTTCCCAATCAATCACGAATTATCTTGTAGTCGAACTAATTTTTTTTTTTCCATTAAATTTTTTTCACAATCAACTTGACCTAAAATTCAAATAATGAAATAACACATAATAATAATAATAATAATAATGATGATGATGATAAATTAAAATCTTCAAAATAAAGTAGCAAAATATAAAAATCAATATTAAAAAGAATAAAAAAAAAATTATAATTTAATTACTTTTTGACAATGACATCTTTTTAAAAAAGAAACTTTTTTTTATAACAAAAGAAAAAACAGCAAAATTATTATTATTATTATTATTATTTTTTTTTTTTAGCTGTATTTCAATTAAAATTGGTTGAATTCGATGAGACAAATGCTTGTTATATACACATTATTAAAATGGTTCATAATAATGTAAGTAGTTTACTCGTTGGTAATAATCGATTTACTCGAATGGTGTTAAAGTATTCGAAAAATATTTCACATATTGCTCCCAATTCTTATAAGGGAAAAGACATTAAATTGCTTTAACATCACATTGAAACACATTAATATAATTAGCATGACTATATTAACACAAAAAAAATTTTCTTTTTTTTTTTTTACACCATTGGCCAATACAACCGTGGCAATGACAATAAAATAAATATTCGAACAGTGTTGAAAACTCCCAATCAATATTTTTAATAAAAATCACAAGCCCTATATTATATATATATATATATTATTAAAATTAATCTGTTATCAAGAATTTAAACAAATCCCTAAATGATTATTAGGAAAAACTATCATGAAAGAAGGTTAAAAAAGAAAGAGAGAAAAAAGAATTATCAGATAATATTATTTGTCAGACTTTACAAAAAAAGAGATAAATTGGCTAAATGTAAAAAAAAAAAGAGGAGGAAAATAGTAAATACGTTCAAATGAAAAAAAAAAAAAAAAAAAAAAGCGATAATACGAATCGATATTCTTAGAATATTTATAAATTTAGAATTTTTATGTGTGTAAATTTTAGTTTAGTCATAACCTCTTCGAAGTGTGGCCATTTTTAATTGTGGCCCTACTGATTCATAGGCTCGATTCTACATCATTTACATCTACACCTGATTATAAGTATTCGTTAAGTCGACCTTATTGTTGAATTTTAACATTATCCTTATATTAAAAGTAATTCCACCATTTGTACAAATAACTTATTTAAAAAGAAAAATTTAACAATTTTTTTAAAAAACACTTGTTTCACTCCGTTTTTATGAGCACACTTGACACTTAAAAAGGGGAGGGGTCATACCGGCCAGAAAAAAAAAAAGGAAAAAAAAAAAGAAAAAACCATCCGAAAATATAATAGTTTCCAAAAACTAAAACATTTTTATTATCGAAACTAGAATATAATTTGTTGGCAGTAAACCGCTAACCGAATTTCGTTATCCGTGTTCAAAAAATAATCATTTTAAATAATCGATATTTCTCTTTACCATACGCACACACGGATAACGAACAATTTTGTTAGGAGAGAGAAAAAATTAATAAAGAGAAAGATATATAAAATAACCGAAAAAAAAAACTAAAATTTGTAATAATTGAAAATAATAATAATTATATATATATATATATATAATAAAATAAAATATTTGAAAAAAAATTTCCCTTACCATCGCAGATTCGTTTCGGTAATAACGTCCTAAATAACCTTATAATAAAAAAACACCGAATCCTTTCGACGTAAATGCCGAACTGAGCTGTTCTAAACTGCAGTCTTATGTATTCATCCGCAAAGTTTCAAATTTAATTTTAATTATATATAAAAAAATGATTAAATAAAATAATTGAAAATTAATTTTAAAAAATTTAAAATGATTTTTTCAAAATTATTTTTATAAAATAAAAATTTTTATTATGTTAATTTCAAAATCAAAATTTGGATTACATTTCGTATGCGCAAGTATACTGACTTTATAGGTGCTGGGTGCGGTCTTGTTTACTTCGCTTCCTTGTCGGCTTCTCTATCTTGTACGGCTTATTGTGATTGGCTGCGACGCACCTGCAATGCGTCATTGTGGCCCGGCCGTCTTGTTCGACTCACGCTGTGCTGATTTTCATTTTATGTATCTTTACATATAAATAAAAAAAAAAAAATTTTTTTTTTTTTTTTTTTTTTTTTTTTCTGTAGGTTTTAGGCTTTTAGACGACCAAACAATTTTCATAAAAAAAAAAAAAAACGAAAGGAATCAAAATCTATATTATTAAAACTCCTTACATCAATAATAAAATATTATTTATTTATGTATATATTTTTAATAATAATAATAAAAACCCCCATGTATATATATTTCGCAATTTGATGCAAATGGCCATACATTCATTATTTGGATAAAATTAAAAAATCATGGAGAATATTATTAAAATATAAATATTAATTTATAATATATTTATATTTTCAATATAAATAAAGTGAAAAAAAATATATTTATTTGTTTACTTTTGAGCATTGCAGTATTTTTTAGGAGTTTAAACCGGGCTTTTATCAAAATAGTCATCGTACGCGCATGCCTCCATATTTAAAAATGTATTTCCTATGTTTAACTTATGCAAAAGACTCCTTAAGCGTTTTTTCATATATATATATATATTGTAAAAATTCTGCTTCCACGTGCTAACTGTTATTTTCTTTATGTAATAATAACAACGTTTAAAAAAGCTCGTGTGTGGTGGTGGTGGTGCTGCTGCTGGTGCTGTTGCTGCTGCAGTATTTTACTCCTTATTCGTTTACCCGGACAAATAATCATATATACCCTCTTAAATATTCAAACGTTTTACTTTATCGAAATTAAATTCCATTTTTTTATTATTTATTTATTTATTTATTATTCTCTCCCGTTGTTTGTTTTAATATTAAAAAACAAAACAAAACAAATTCATGCCATTGCGTGTACGTTGCTTTATACCATGTAATTTATTAAAATAAAATAATAATAATAAATATATATATATATATAAAGTATTTACTCATTCATTAGACACACTTAAGTTTAAATATTTAACTATTATTATTATTATTATTATCCACCATTAAACACGACAAGGCTACTTGTCGGAGTTTTTTTTAAGTATTTATCCGAGGTTTCTACCCGATTCC